GTCGTGTGATTGACCCAGAAGCACTCTATTTCCCACAGACTCTGCCTGAACGTGCAATGCACTTCCAGGTCCTGGGTGACGGTGTAAAGTTCAACCAAGGATCACTCTGTTTAGCTATGCTAGGGGCTCGTAATCCCAGTGGGTCAAAATGTTTGGATTAAAGAGGTTACAAGCTTTTCTGCGGGAGTATTTAAACTCCATCTGTCAAACCACTTGCATAGAAGAAATTTATAGACTCTGCCAGCAGTACATTAAATTGCTGTTTTGTTGTCTTTAATGTAGTACCACGCATTGATTTTATGTTGCCCTGAGAGAATAATTAATCTGTGGCAAATTTATGCCTATAAAAATTATAAATACTAGATTTAAAAAAACAACAACAATAAAGAAATTCAAGGAGTCACACGTTGATGAGAGCCACATCAAGAAGGCTCTTGGCAAAGCTGTCGGCATGCCTTAGGGGCCTGATCTTTTCAGAGTCTAAGGGACTTGAAACCAGCTTCATACTCAGTTTAATCGTGCACAAAAAAACACTTGCAGCCTTTGCACATTAACAGGAGAATAAAAAAAAAAAAAAAAAAAAGAATAGGCAGAGCTTTTTCTCAGGGTCTAAACAACAAGTTTGAAAATGAGGAAGTTTGGTATTGCAATTTTCCAGGAAACCTCAATGTTGCTCCCTGATGCTATTGTTTTGTACTTCAGTATATAATACAGCTGCAAGTCTGATAAATTAAGGGCTTCACAGATTGTTTTCTTTCCATTTACAGGAGAAAAGGCAGTGCAGGAACACAAGTGACATCTGCTGCGAGACTGAGATCACTTCAGTTTCTCTAGTTGCTTTGAAGAAGGTGAACCTACTACCAATGTTTGGCAAGGGAGCAGTATAAGCAAGGCTGTGGTTGGAGCAATGTCAGGTATAGGACACAATAAGCACTGCTCAAATGCCCATCACTGAAATACCCAAGCTGAGATGTCTTTTCTGCTCCCTACCTTTTTGATAAAGCAAATATTTCCGTTGATTGAATGTAGGTCTATTACAAAGAAACCGAGAATGAAGATGGCGCTGGGGGGGTGGATAATCCTTACTGGAGCAAGTTCTCCTGTGAATAAAGGAGTGCTGAAGCTCAGGTTCCTGCAAGCTCAACTCTCTGACCTTGACATTCCCCGCTGTAATAATGCACAGGTCACTCTCATCTGCAAAATACTCCATATCCACTAAAATATTTAAAGTGCCATTTCCCCATTTCCAACCCTTTCTCCCTCCTCCCACTACTCCCGAGACATCTCCCACACCTCCACCTGGCTGCCACGGCAACAACCTCACCTTCCCCCTATATTCCCAGCCTGTTCTGGTGTGACAGCAAGGCAGGAGGCAGCAAAAGCTTGGCTGGATTTTACGCGTGCTGAGTGACTGCTGCCTAACGGGGGGAACAGCAGCCACGTTTCCCGGTGCTAAAAGGAGGTCTGTCCCCTGCCCCTGTGGTGACTGCTGCCCTTCAGCAAAAGGGGACAAAATTGGGCAGTGGACTGAAAGGTGACTGGCAACAGGGAGCAACGCCTCAAGACAGTTTGTGCATAGGTAAGTCTCAGAACATGCAATGTGAGCTTAAAAAAAAATGAAGGGAACTTTCACTACGAGCAATTTTCTCAAGCAGGTAATTGGAACCACTGGGGGAAAAAATGTGAGGTGGCTAGTTTGGGAGTTTTCATTTTTTGATGCTGGAAGAGGAACAACAGCCAGGCTTTCAATATGAAGAAGCATAGTAGTACTAACCTTGGTACCTACATTCTTGGTTTTCTTTAACAGCTAAATAAATTAGACACACTCCTAGCACCGTCACCAATCATATAAAAGGAAAATGTTTATTGGGGTGATAAAGAACCAACCTTGATATCTCCCATCAGGTAGGACTGGCCAAAAGAGAAGAGGGAAAAGAAATATCACAGAGCCACAGAGCTGTTGAGATTGTAAAGGACCTCCGGAAGTCCTTTGAAATGCCTAAATATTACAACTAAAACTGAATGCAACATCAGGCTCGGGACTGTTCCTTGCCAAATGCACAGCAGTGTGCACAATACTGTTTGCTGTTTATTTTGGTAGCAAGACTGGTGCTGATGTGGTTACTGTAGAAGAAGTGAGCAGGGTAAAAGTACCGTCCTGGTTCAACATTAAGTGCAAGACAAGCAGCACACTGTTCAGCTCCAGTACATAGGTTGCACAGACTAGCAAATGCAACAAGAAAGGCGAAAGCCAGAGAAGTCTGAAACCTATTTGTGGGGAGCTACACCACCTCTTCATTATCAGCAGTTTCCTGACTGAGTCTTTGTCTGCCTGCCTGTGTAACCCCCTTCCCACCCACACACATTCCTTTCCAGCAATGCTGCTTTATTTGGCTTACCATTATCTTTTGTTAAACCCACTTAATTGGTGCATTTAACTCTTTATGTTCCGTAATAGTCTCTCTGATATCACTTGTTTACTGAAAAAGCAGTCATAGCCTTAAGTATTACATTTCAAAACAGCATCTAAATTGAGAAAGGTCTTGACAGTCCCAGCGTTCGACTGTGCTAGCTCCATTAACTCACATACACTTCATAAAACACTAGGCATGATAAGGCAAGCTGGACTTTATGAGCTGCGAAATTGTCCAAGTCAAAGTCTACACATGACCAGGGTATTTTCAGAAATCCAAAGTCTACTTTTTCATAAGCTCCTTTAAGACAACGAAGCTGCATCCCCCTGCAATGAATTATATGGCTTTTACTGCATCTAATGCAGATCAGAGGGGATCCTCTCTGTGCTGCCCAAAGCGTGATTAGTTTAGTTCACCACGTATGCTACACTTGCCTAAGTTTCCATAGCCAGATCTATCAGGAATCTGAGGAAGAAAATCCCAAGTGGAAGCAGTGCCAGAAAAACCCGTAATGCCAACATAATTATGTCAGGAAGAAAAAAAATAAAATATTCCTTTGGCAATTTGGTTTTATTTGGGGAACAGCTGCAAGCTTTACACACACAAAAAATGCACCAACCTCAGGGCACCATCAGCTGCATCCACACTGGGAACTTCATCAGTATAACGCCCCCCAACTTTTAATAGTGTAGCCAAAGTCTGCCTAGATACTGTCAAAGGCAGCATCAGCTTCGATACGGAACGGGATGCTGTCTCCTTCTTGGTGAGTGTTTTTGTTGGGGGATTGGGGAGAGGGGGAGGTTATCTTTTAAGGGTTTTGCTCCACAACAATTACTTTATTACTGAAAAAATACTAGTAGACTGAGCTGATAAAGCACCCTTCACTGCAGGTGTAGTACTACGGGTAAAGCTGGGCCTGGTACCCATATGTGAAGGCATCAGCAGAAGTGCAGAAGGCTGGACCAGTCAAAAGCAGGACTGTTCAAGGGTATAACCACCCACATATCCTCTGCCAGTGGTTCTGTTGGTCAGAGCACAGCACTACTAACTGCTAGCAGAAACCTGTCGAACAGATATAACCGAAAAGCAAAGGCTTTGCTTTATTCTCAAACCCATTTGTAACTTCTGGAAAGAAACAGTAAAGCCCCTCTAAAAACAGGGTGTGGGAAGGAAATCAGGAAAAAAAACCAGCAAAAACTTCAATAATGCCCCATGTTCTTAATCCAGAACAGTGTTTTTCTGACACCACACTCCTGGGAGCAAGGCACCAAGCAGGGTGTCTCCCACGAGGCTTTGGCAGAGAAGAGGCTCCACAGCCTTCCCCTGCTGACGGCAGCAAGGCGCCGCTTCTGTCAGTGAACATAGCACATTTCTGACATGGTAACAACATGGGTTAAATTCCTAGCATGAATTGGGCCAGCTGTAGTTTTAACACGTTAACATGTTCTACCAGGGGAAAAGCTGAAGTATTTTTAGCATGGTCTGAGTGTTTGTCTCTGCACTGTTCTGGCCTTTTTTGGAATTTTTAACTCTGGAAACAAATACAATACCCTTTGCAACAGTGAAACACCACCTATTTTCTTTTATTGTTTGCCATAAAGACGACTGCAAGTTGTACTTCCGAAGATATTAAAGGAGAAACATAGAGCAGCTACTTTTGACACAGCTTTCCCCCTTCACAACACCAGACAGTTTACTTACTGTTTCCCTAATTCCTGCCCATGCCCTCCAGCCGTTCCTGCTTACACGCTTAGCTCTGAAGAAATCTCAATGGAGAAAACATTTTTGTTCATTATGAAATTCAATCCCGAGTTGTTGCTTGAAGGCGTTGCCCCTCACTCTCGTGTTTGAAATGGTGTGTGAGTGCAGCAAGAGGGGTCAACGAAATACACTTGCAAACTGCATCACATGCAAACTGCATCACATGCAACTGCCCTCTAGTCCTGCCCCTGACACAGCCCCTCAGTCTGATCTCCAAGATGAGTCAGGGAGAAGCATCAGGTGACAGTATGTTTGTTTTTATCATGTTAAAAACCCACAGCTGCATTATCCCCTCCACTGTGCTGTGCTGAGGCCAGAGCCCAGCAAGTCAGTTAGGTATAAAGGAGGAGAGGGAGTTTAAGCACAAATGTAACAAGAATCGACACAAGGGGAGTCTGAGGACTGAAAGGGGCATCACATGGAGTGAAGGAGGGACTCTCCCCCTCTCCTATTTTCTATCCCATTTCAAATAATATCCCCTTCCTCCTCCCCTCCGCGTGGCACTAGCATAAGCATGCAACATAGCCATAAGGAACAGATGTCTGACAGTCCATGCTGCACACAGCTGCAATCAGCGTACCCAGGGACTGCCGATGTCCAGGCCACACAGACAAGTCACCCAGGGAAACAAGACTGTTGAAAGGATTAATGGTGAGAGAAGCTCCTGTGGCTGCAAAAAGGAGACTGTGGTTGATCATCTGCTCCCAGCTGAAGGGAGATGAGAACAAGTTTTTTGTTTGTCCTGGTTCTTCTCTTCCTCCTCTTCAGAGATTGCCATTACCACTGCTTCTGGAGTGGGGCGGGAGGAGATGGGGTAGGGGGGCTGCACTTGGCGACTTGGATTCATCTCTCAGGCAGCAGGACGAAGAAGACAGCCTTGAGGAAGTGACCAAAGCTGCAAACAGCAGCCACAAGCCAGTGGGAGCGAAGGCTGGGGTCAGTATTCACCACACATTTTGTGATGTCTGCCTAATGAGGAGGGAACAGAGATCATCAGAGATGCCCAGAACCACATCAGCCACCGCTGCAGACTCTCCCAGCCCCATGACCCGTGGCACCATGCCACCACGCCACCACTGCTGCAGCACCACTTTGCCACACCATTAACACACTGACACTTCCACATACTGCAAGTTATTAAACCAGGCTCCAGAGCTCTGTGAAATACACTTTCTTCATTCTGCATCAACAAGGTGAAGTATCCCCCTTTTCAGCCACCCCTGGGGAAAGAAATGCTACAGGAAGATTGTCAACCATTTTACATTTTGAATAGCTAAATAAAAGAAACTTTTTTCCCCTTTTCAAAAGAGCTAGGAAGCCTTGGCAATATCAGCATTCTCATCCTTTTCTGTAAAGCAAGATGCTTCCCAGAGGTCGTCCTGTTTAATATTGGCTCAAGTTGCTTGCACTTTTTCTCTTGCCTTAATGTTTTATTTGGAACTTATTCAAGCAAGCCAACCCCCAATTTAAATCTAAAGCAATGCAAGCTTTGTTTGTGGAAATATGTATGCTGGCAGAGATGCCTTCCAGACGCGTGGGCCAGATTTAAAGATCGCTTGGGCAGCTGGTTTCAAGTATTAACAAGAATAGAAGCTGGCCTGCAATGAATAAAAAATAACAACAATCCAGCAAATTCATGAAGACAGGATCTCAGCTGACAAGGGGAGAAGGTGGAAAATATCTAGAGGGTGAAGCAAACAGGACAGAGGTAGATAGAAAATTGCATATTCTGGTGGGGGAAACAAAGTTCTGCCAGCAATATAATTGAGTTTGTGGTTAAATATCAGCCTAGCACAAGGAGATATGGACTGTAGTTCTGTAACAGAGAGAGCACCGTTAGGACATCAACTTGATGTGGCTTTCAGAAATGGCTTTTGGGTGGCAAATGTGAACAAGAAATGGGTCACAAGGAGGGCAAATATTCATCAGCCCCAAAAGCTTTTTCTTTACAAGCTTAGCTCAGCAGTATTCCAAGCTTGCCTTCTGACACAAGTCTCTCATTGACCAAGCAAAGGGAAGTCAGACTCTCAATCCTGAAATGTTCCTCCCATAAAATGAGACACAAGAGCTGCTGAATACTCCAATGATCTTTTCCAGTATTTCCACCTGTGTTCAAGACATGGGTGAGCCTTACCTGACCGACCTTGGTAAATAATTGGAAGAAAACAAAAGGGGGATTGAAGGGAAAAATCCCCCGTTAGTGAGTACAGCCACATTAACAGACTCCACCGTCATCTACAGACCAAAGGTCTGTTGACAGCAGCCTCAACAGCCTCCCATGCAGCTCCAGCAGTTCCTCCCTCACAAGGAAGTCTGAAAGGCTGGCACGCTGAATCACCCCACACCGCTGTTCTCCGGGGAGCATTAGGAGATGCTGAGCCCACGAGTAACTGACAAGTAGAGATTGCAGGAGGAATGAATACAGGCACGCAAAGATGGTAAGAAACAGGATGACAGAAGGAAGCTGAATCAGCACATGGGGTGCTCCTGAGGCTGAACATGAAGGTGTGGAAGTGCTGTTGCCTATAGCTACAAAAGCACAAGCAAACGTAGCAAGCAGCCAAGATAGCACATAACAGAACATGCTGCAATGTAGTACCAGTGGTTATAGGGGTTTTTTTATAGTTTATCTGTATTGTGGAGGAAAGTAAAATGGGTCTGCCTAAATGCTTTCTGTGATGGCTTAGCAAACTCACCTTATTTGCATTTGAAAAAAGTCTGAACTGATTCAGCCTGTCCAATTTTAGGGACCGGCATGGTGTCCTATTTAAAACACAGCTGTGTCAAGCTGTCTCTTTAATCAGAAGAAGTCATGACGTGCAGGTACCTGTCTGAACATGATTTCAGATATTAGAGTAGCTGATCAATAAGAAACTTCAGCTCTGAAGGGCTTTAGTGCCTCATGTGAACAAGTACAACGCCCAAATATGCACATCGGGTTGATTATAGCTGCAGAGGGTTAACTTCCAGATGAGAAAGTGTGAACTACTTAAAGCTATGCTATGCCCTACCAAAAGCAATGACCTCACTGCAGCTAATCAAGAGGAGCTGCAGTCAGAAGCACTTACAAATATGTATGGTGCTTGCTTAGATAAACAAAATTGCTCAGTTGTTTAACAATTGCCTTAGCTATTGTTATCCATAAAGCATACTTGATAAGGCACTGGAATTGAAAATTTCAAAGCTACTTAATAAAACAGGACTTTGAGTCTTGTGAGGCACTGATAAACTGTTGCAGTGGCAGTTTGATCTTCGCTTGTGAATTATTCAAACAAGTTCAAGTCACATGCTTTTCTTTGTAGCAAATATATGTAACAGCTGCTAAAAAAAAATAATCTTTCTATTCTACTGTAAAGCCACTGCTGAGGCTGCAAACTCTCCCCAGGGTGAGATGATGCCTCAAAGGGTTAAAGATTTCTTGTTTCTCCTAAGAGGTTTGTTTTGGGTTGGGCTTTGAGGGGTAGGGTCTTTCTCCACCCTGTGGAAGCAGTATGGGAACCTACTGCTGAGTGGAGAGTTTCAAATGCCTTTCCAAGATCTCCACGGTGGCTTTTCTGAAACAGCTTGGAGGACAGTGGTTCCTCTTGGCAGCCTCAGCCTGAGCTGATGCATAAGAGACAGGGGCCATGTGCACAGGGGAAACAAGGACTCCATGCCAAGACAAACTAACAACCAGCTAGGTCAGGCAGCAGATGAAAGGGTCCCCACTAAAGAGCTGTTTCATCTGGCCCATTTGTGAACAAGGCTGCGAAATTTCATGCTGCAGTGCCTAGATCAAGAGGAAGAACATTCAGGGAAACACAGCACAAGATGGCAAGAGGATTAGCAGCCTTTCCCCAGGCTGAAGGAACCACTCATTTCTAGAGGGAAAATATCTCCTTGTTGCAGCCCAAAATTGCTGATAAGGGCACTGGAGACAGGCCGTAATCAGTACAACCCAGCAGCTTTTACAGTTGTTGTGTTTGACTGGAGGCAGTGAGATTGGCTTCCCTTTCTTAGGGCCAGATCCCAAGAGCAAGCCATCTAGGTTCAGCAACTCCAATAGAAATGTGCTGGCCATCCAAAGAGGGATGATCGGCAGAAGGAGCTAACAGCGGACAGGACTTATCTCCTCAGCTGCAAAGAACCATTTCTGGTCTGGGGATGGGTTTTGTGGCTTGTTTGCTATGCAACAAACTTTCCAAAAATACCCATTTGGAACTATCGAAACACCCTGTTTTGAACTCTAATAATGTAACACAAAAATTAAAACAAGATGCTAACTTTTCAGAACATGCATGTTTTACCAAAACAAAGAAAAAAATTAGTTGGAAACTAGGAGGAGACACATTCCGATGCAACATTTCACTTTTAACGAAGCTGGATTTTTTCCAAAGGAAAAATTGTTTCAGAGAATACATTTCAACCAGCTCTACAGGTAACCAGTTAAAGTAAGCCTCAAGTGATACTAAGGCAGGGATTTCACAGGCAGGAACAGTGCTACTTAATCAGTCGCTTTCCCAGGATATCCTCTTCACCTACCTCGGCACAATTATTTGTGCGAACACAAAATGAAACAGATCAGGGCATTCAAATCAAAGGTCACTTTTCAACCCAACCAAACAGTTCCCTGACTCAGTTGGCCTCAAGGTCACACAGTTTGAGAGAGGGCAGGGATGATTTAAGGTGGCAATGACACTTAGTAAATACAAGGGATTCAAAATCAGAACAACACTCCTTTTCCAGTTGCCCTTCATCAAAAAGGTGCCTTCACTCCTGGAGAAACTAGGCAACTGAATCAGCTACAGGCACACTTGGGAAGTCTCAGCACAGACGAGCAATGCTCAGTTTGGAAAAAGACATCCCCCTCTTTGCGGGTCTGTGCGGGATGGGGAGCCTGACTATTTCCTGACAGCTCAGGAATAAATACCACCTCTAGGAAAGGAGGGAATTTGCTGCTGTGGCTCAGTTTGGAAAGAGCACATGCTTTGGGAACAAGATGTCCCATGAGCTCAGTGGTGTCATATGGCAATATTTAGCTCCAGGCAGCATCTGCCAGGCAGTACACCAAAGCGCTTTTGCCTGTATCGCTCCAAGGAGTATCTACATCCCTGCCAGAAAGGCACTGAGACCCTGATACGTGTGTACATCACCCAGCTGCCAACTGCTAACATAGTCAACCAGTCATCTCAGTCTCCTGGGGCAGTCACTAGAAAGGTGTCTGGTTATTCCACAGCACCAAACTAAAGCTCTTACTCTGAACCATCCTCCACAGGAGCATTCTATTTCCTGTTGCATATAGAGAGAACCAAAGAAATCAGATGCTTAAAGCCATATGACATGGAGCCACACTCCAATGCAGAGCAGCACCGTGCCTTACCCACAGTCTCAGAGCAGGACAGTGACAGAGCCACGAGCCCTCCCACTGTCGATGGGTGCTATGAGTGCCCTTCAAAGCATAAGTGTGCTACAATTTGAGCTACATCAGAAGAAGCATCATCAGGGTCAGGTCAGGGAATGGCACAAACTACCAGGTTTTAATAGCCCTCTAAAATTCCTTACACTGGCAAGTCACACTAATATACTAAGCTTTGACTTGGAGAACTGTGGGGCAGGTGAAAGGGGAATTAAGTTGGCAGGCCTCATTTTTTTCAGTTTCTAGAAAACAGCTGCCCAAGAGAATGACCCCTGTTTACAGTCTCCTGCTATGACTGGCTGGCAGCTCCAGAGATGTTCAGGTCAGGAACAGAAGAGGTCCTGGTGGGTCAGGACTGAATTAGTCTGGCACAGCTACACAGGAAGCTGAGGACCAGAATAGCTGATGTTGTCGAGGATGGGACCATGAAGCAGTAAGAGAGCTGTATGGAGTTTAGCACAGGTGTAAGCAGGACAGTGAAGAGAATCTCATTCAATGGTTTTCTGCATAAAGCTGCAGTGGGGGCACTCTCACTTTCATTAATCAGGATATTTTCTGGTCTGCATGTGTGGAAGCAAGCTTGATCAGACAGCATCTCTTACCCAGCCTCCTCTCCTTTTCAGCCATGTCACCAAGGTCTTGCGGACAAACTCTCCTAGGCAGTCTACGATGGTGTGAACCATGGCTGGCTGTGCATGCCGCACACAGTCCACTGCCAGCCCAGCTGCCACAGCATAGAGAGACACCACCTTGCCCCACGTTATGCCTATGAAAAGAAGGAAAGTCATTCAGATTTACACATGCGCACATAGCTCAGTCTTGAATAATCAAGGGAAACAGCTCTCCTTCATTACATGTGCCCACACTGCATGCATGCAGCTCTGAGTTCAGGTGCAGCCACAGTTCTGCATGCTCTCCACCATGGGGGAAACAAAATACTACGGGACCAAAGCTGGGGCAAACTCTCCACTTGGAAGAGCAGAATTAAATGATCTGACCTGGGCATGCTTTGACCCCCTCTCAGCACTGGGTGCACAGCTTTGGAGAAAGCAGACCAAAGGCATCACCAAATAGGGAAGATGTGCACCACCATGGTTTATATTGCCATTAACTCTCAGCCATGCACATGCTGCACAGGAGGCAATTGAATTCAGAGAGTATGAGCAACGTGGGGCTTTTGTCACCAGCGCAACTATTAAACACCCTTTAGACAAAATGTTCCTGTTTTTTTCTAGATCAGAGGAGACTGTTCCAATGTGGCACACAAAGCACATGTGAGATAAGCATCTTCAGTCTACCATGACACAAGAGCAAAAAAGGCAGGCAAAGCTACAGGGCCAAGAGGGTTGGTGTAAGGAGTATGCCTCAATCTCCACTTGAAAACCAGGTAGCTTCAAGAATTTGGCCACTCTGCCTACAATACTTAACATTGCATATCCTATCTCACTGAAGGCAGTGCAGCGACAGAGTGTCAGCCAGTTATCTAATCTCCCAGAAAACAGCCTTCCTGCTAGGCTGACCTGCCAGCAGTGAATGCTCCATGGAAGTTGTCCCAGCAGCAGTCATCTTCCTGTTAAGGCTAGCGATAAGCTCTCAAGCTCAGTTCTGGGTGCCAGCCAACCTCCCTGGGTCTCCCCTGCACTTTGCCAGCACCACTGGGCATACATTTTCCATGCTTAAACATTGCAGCCAGCAGTCCCTCATCAGGCTTTTGTCAGGACCAGTGACCTGAAAACGCAACCCTTCTGCACCCATGCAGAAGAAGTACCACAGCACAATGGCATGTGGACTTCCTTTGGATCCACCAGGAAGTTTAATTCCTCCCCTTACTTTATTATCTGGAATAGCAGTATTTGACAAGCATACTGTGAAGTATTTTACAGTGTGAGGTCTCTATGGAGTCTGTCCAAGGTCTCTCCCAAACACAGCCAGAAGCCAGGTGAAGTTTCATTATTTAAAAACCACACAAAACTGTTCTTGCTGGGTTGCAACAAGAAAGAAAACAGGTAAGAGGAAGGAAAGATTAGTTCAGTCACAAGATCTAAGGACCAGAAGGGGTTAAACACACAATCAGGAAACTGGATGTGCTCAGCAATCTATCTGCTAAGAAAGTAAACCCTTAAATACAATTTAAACGAAGAGAAGAGTCTCCCTCTTTCCTGCATCTCACTCCCAGATCTCCAGGCACCCCAACCCATCTCTCCAGGATGGACCTCCAGACTCCTCACGCCTGTTCACACCGCAGCAGAGCTCTCCACATTCCTTTACAATACGTGCAGGTTTCAGAGCATTTCCACAATCCTTCCACTTAGTGCCTCAAAAGGGACACCCACACTAACACTTACAGGAATTGCTTTTTTTTTTTTTAATGAAAAAGTACTAAACTTTAGAGAAACTGTTCAAATGTCAGCCACAGAAATGGCTTGTTAGACTGAAGAAAATCCATTCAGTGTTCCAAAAAAGCCATTTTTCACTCGTGACTGATATGAGATCAAAATCTACAGATGATCCTTTTGTGAGGCTCTGTATCAACAGTAACAGCAGTAGCTCAGAGTCTCTGTGATACTCTGTCCTTCACCAGCACTACCTCCAAGATCAGAGGAAGTTATTAATATAGCTAAATTGGCTGTTATTCTCATTCTGATTTTATATTCTGAGTAGGCTCTGTGGTGTCCCTTCCCCAGAGCTGTCACTCAGGAAGTTCACTGCCTGTGTGGTATTCACACTATTTATCTGTCTGTCTCACATTGCGTGTCACCATGACAGCCAACAAAACAAGCCAGGAAGAGGCTATGAAACCACATGAGAAAATACTAGACAGAGGGCTCTCCTGGCAAGAAAGAGGCTGTCCTGTTGCAGGACAATACCTCTCCACCCAATGAAGAGGCTTCGAGGGGTTACCTCTTGCTGACCACAATCTCCTGGACCAGACCCTCAGCTGGCTTATACTCAGCTTTAGTGTAAGACAGTTTTTGCTGTTCTCCATCCCTGCAGAAATGTAGCTCTTTGCATCTTGAGTTACATGTACCAAAGTTACCCAAAATTCCAGGGAAGAGTTCACTGGCTTATTCCCAAGCTTTTAGTGACAGCACTCTTTCTTAAGTATCTGAAGCAAGTCCAGTAGCTTTGAGATATTTACATGGCAGTAACTAAGACTGACAGGAGACTGAGGCCACCCTGGTAGAGAAAGACAGCTGCAGTCTTGATTAACTTTGTTTTAAACCCAAGTTTCTCTTTCCAACAGAAGAAAAGTTTATCCACAACTTATGAAAGATAAAGGCTCAATAGACCCATGATTTCCTTAATACACAGGAAAGCAGTTTGCTCTACAGACATGTCAGTCCAGGTGTCTCCTCCCAGGGAGGATGGAGAGAAAGCTCTTCAGCTCTGGCTTCTCTGCCAAGGTTGCTACATAGCGGTGCTTGCTGCAGGATTTGCACGAGGTGAACGCTTCCCCATCACGTGGACAGAGCCCATGTCCCTTTCACACGGACAGCAGAAAGAGGGCAAATTTTTGCCTGATGTTTATCACGGTGATGGATATGAAGGGCTCAGTATTATTCCCATTACCCTCCTCTTTACAGAGCATGCCTACAAGGGTCAAACCAATCTTTCAGTCTGCTTTTCGTGTTACCTACAGAGCCCAGAGCTGGGCCACAGGGGTGGTAGAGGAGGAAATCCTCACACGATTTCTCTGCATGGAACCTCCTCTTGCCACTGCTGGAGGCAGAAGATGGAGATGGCTGGCTGGGCTCCTCACCCGAGACAACAGGGCACAGCTTATGCTCTTGTTCGCGCAAGATGTTGTAAGGGAGCCCTGAAGCAAGGGAAGAGCAGACACCTCTAACAGCTGCTCTAGACCAAAGCTGGGCCATGCTTGTGGCCAGTCCCTCTGCCCCAGGAGGGCTCCAACAGCCACCCAGCCCCAGGCAGGGCAGGGGAACAGGCCACAGCAGCCCCCATCTGCACTTTTCCAGAACACCAGCTCCATTAACTTTTCTCTCTCAAGGATTCCTTTGGCAGGGGTAGAGGAGCACAATCTACTGGGAGGGCAGTGCCTCTGCCCCCTGTAAAGGTCAAGGTGACACTAGCTTGATGCATCCCTCAGCATAAGCTGGAATTGCATCTGGCCAGCACACATGAGCAGAGAAGACACATTGTCGTGCTCCAAATTCCTCAAAAGGTCTGGCTGCCATACACATTGGGTGAAACAGGCACTCATCACCGAGAGAAACAATCTATTCACAGCTTCCCACTGTGTGGACTAGCATGCACAGGAGCTAACGACAAGAGGGAATGGAAAACTGTTCCAGAAAGGAGTGATCAAAACAGAGAAAGCTCTGAAACTTCTGCTCACAGAGATGAAACAAAAGGACATGGAAAATATGAAAAGCTGCTTAGAAGGCATTTTAAAAAATACAAGTTGCAGACTCAAGGCCAATCACGGAGCTGAAGGTATGTAAAACACTGGTGAGCCCATGGGAAAATGAATTAGCAGGAGAGGACCGCTCTTGAAAGTGTTCCTGCTGCGCACCAGCTTGCCTGCCCCAGGGGAGAGCTCAAGAAGCCATGAGACATGACTGTGCAGTCTCAGAGCACCACACTATCCAAGGTTACTCAAATAAACTTCCCTCTGCTCCACTCAGCATCAAAGCCTAACTTTAACTAAGAGAAACATGATCAAGTGCTACATTTCAACATCTGGGAGGATACAGCCAGACACAAGATACTTTTGTCTGGTGGAGAGAAAGAAGCCAAGAAGGACGTGCACAAGGCAAGAAGCTCAACTCATAAGGCATAAGCGATGAGGAAGCAGTGGGATGGATTTCTAACAGCATTTGCTCCTGCAAGGGAAAGTATTTTCTCCCTAGAACCCATTAACCATGCATCCCTGTTGTACGGGGTTCACTTCAGCCCGAGCACTCTTGATTAAAAACTTATGAGCGCCTAAAACAATACAAAACCAGGATGAAAGCTTTGAGGTAGGCCTCGTGCCTAGCAGCTCTTACCAACTGGAGGAAACTGTTTCCTTTAGGAAAGGAAAATGCGTCTCCCTTTTCTTCTTCTGTTTTTCCACCAAGTGACCCCTGCCTTCTGGGATTTACTTAAACAGCTAATGTAAATGCCAGCTCAGCCAGGCCCCAATTCAAAGCCTGTTAAAGTCAGTGGAAAGTCTCCTGCTGGCTGCAGAGCAGCTTTGGACCACACACCAGAATCAGTGGTATTGTCACAGAGGTGATGCTGCTGCAGACCCTTCAACATTCAAAGCAGGTCAGGGCTCTGTGGTGCCAGTCTCCACACAGATGGGCTCTCCTCACCCTGAATGACTAACAGGTTGTATGGAAACAGGAAAGCAAAATACAGCTTGAGCCTTACCATGCTCTGTGACCTGCTCGCCTTCTGCCTATATTCTCAGCTGTTAATCTTGCTGTAACTGGGATTCAATTGCTAACACCTGTCCTTGCTACACCAGAGAAAAGCCAAACCTGAGATAACTGAAACAGGCAATGCTCTAAAGTTGAATATGGCACAATGTACCCAGGCAGTAGGACCAACAAAGATGTCAGATGTCTTGCCTTCTTGAGAGGTCCATCTAGGGATTGTTCTTAGTCAAGACTTGCAGACAGTGTGGACAGGAAGTGAGCACAGCCAGAACTACGGTGTGAAGACTCAAAACCAGACCAGAGTGTGGAAGAAGGCCATGTAAAAGATTAAGGAGAAAACCTCTCCAGCAAGGTAGGGTCAAAATCCCCCACTCCCTTGCTGGAAAGGCATTGCAAGTGAAAAATGGGGCTCCCCAGACTGTCTAGGCACTGCAGTGTCAGACTGTAGCTGTTTTCTTAATAAACTGGACAGTGAAAAACAGGCTGAGATGCTTTAGCTGTTGGCAATTGGCACAAAAAACTCAGGCTGCACTTGAGTCTCTGGTTTCCTTTGCTCAATAAGAGACTCTTTCCTCTGAACTATGAAAAAAAATAGGAATGAACGTCTGGCTGCCACAGCCAACTCTGATTTGCTGGATTTGGCATTAAATGCTGAGTCTTGAGACTGCAGTTGGGATCCAGGAATGTTAAAAATCAGCAAACTCCTCCCCCTCTGCCACTCAGCAGCCTTCTAGCAAGAGAAATTACAACGAAGAATTGCTAAAAGCAATTGAATACACAAGCCCAGCTTCACGCTCACAGGTTATCCGGTTAGTTGCTCTGAGGCAGAGATGAGAAAGAAGAAAAAATGGAGCATACAGATCACCGGGAAGGTTTGAATCCACCTCCTGTGCAGCCAGCCAACTGCCAGCCATTTATGCAGCACAGCGTCCCCAGACAAGGGGCAGCACTAGTAACAGAGCTTGAGCCTGGGCTTCTACCATGTTCCCAAAGCCTCTAGCATTGCCAGCCTCAAAGGGATGAGTCCAGATCCCATTCTTACTACCCTGAAAACCCCAAGTTTAAAACCAAGAGTTACAATTTCTAGCTTTACCTTCAAAAAAACATTTTAAACCATCCACACTTTTCCCTTGACTCCTGAGCTGAGAAATTAAACACCACCAAAAAATGCAGCTCTGAATGAATCTGTCAAGATACATTGGTGAGAGCAGGACTCCCAGTGCCAGCAGGGCTTTCTCCCCAGTATTACATTTGTGCAGCATAGCAGCATGCACAGTCTGCTCCACCTACAGCCATCCACCTTTCTGGCTTAATTCCCTGTGTCACTTCAGCTTTGGAGGTATGCCAGTTCTGATGTAGTCAGCTATAGTCATCTAAGAGGATAACCTACTTACCTGCAATACAAATACCTGAGCCTGCAAACTTGACCTTTGTTTTTCTGTAAGCCTTGACGCAAGTAAAGCTCAATATTAAGCGACAAGACAAGGCACCTGCACTTTGAACACAGCCACACTCAGACATTCCTGCCATACTTGCCCAGCTCTTGCTTTCTGAGCCCATATGGCCTCCCAAGCCAGCCCAGTGCAAAGGCAATCTGCATTCCAGGCATGCTCTGAGAGGATGCCAAGGGCTGTAGTACTAGCTACAGAATCCAATTCCATCCATTTCTTATGGCACAGCTTCAGTTTCCCTGATCTGGGGAGTAAATCTGCCCTACTAGACCTGCTGGGAGCCATGCTTTTGCATTCTCTCTGAGAGATCTATTTTGCCATTTGTTGTGATTCTGGAGAGGACCTGTGCTTTCCATCACAACACACTTCAGATCTGAAGTCCAGGATGTCAGTACGGGGCTTCTCTAGCAGGTCAGTGGTTCCCATGCAGTTCATACACATAAAGATGCATAGCTGATTGTGAAGATAAAAAGGTTTTGAGTGAGGAAGCCTATTTGAAAGTACAACAGAAACCTGGACTTCTATTCTGTACCAACTACTCCCAAAGTAATAAGAATCACTGCCTCCTGTGACACTTCCCAGGTCAATGTCACTGGATCCAGTGTTTTCACACTACAATGCTGTTAGCAAGCAGCTGTCTTGTGGGTTTTTTTGTTTGGTTGTTGTTTTTTTGTTTCCAGTCTCTAACATCTACTTCCATGGACAACACAACAAGACACACTACAGAAAACCTACTAACTGTGTCAGGACTTGCCTGACATAAATCTCCACCTAAAACATTTCTCTTCCCTTGATTCCCCCAGATTGCATTCCCAGTCGCAGGCAGGGACTGTTATTAAGGAGGCTGAGGTTCCCTCACAGGAACAAAGCACAGACTGTGCTGTGACACGATTTTGACAATCGTCTCTGGGACCAGTCAAACAAAAGCAGAAGAACAGTCACATCTAAGCAGTGAGAAAGCTCAAAGCACCTGCTTGTCTGGAACAGCTAGCCTCAAGGGCTGAGGCTCCTGTCTCTCCGAGTATGAGAAAGGAGAAGCAACAACTGGAAGCAGCAGGTTCCATTGCAGTTCTGGCTACTGCTGGGGAAAAGGAAGCCAGAAAGAGAGGAACTCCCTTGTGATGAGTTGGTTCTGGCTTCCAGCATCAGCAGCGTGAACTGGAACAAGGGAGACTCCCATGTAATGAATCTTCTCCAGTTGCCAATGGTGAGCAAAGGAGCTTGGAATGAGTGACCTCCCTGTGCAATGAGGTAACACCACCTCCTAATGAGGAAGGGCAGGAGATGCCTTCTAGAATGAGCGAGAACCTGCCAGGAGGATATAATAAAACAGGGCATTTCCCTGCCATAACAACAGAGCATAGAGGAGCTCCCATTAAATCATTAAAGCAGGGCACACTGCCAAACTGCCCACAGCCCTTTCAGAAACCATGCCCCACCTTGCAGGCCATCCCAGAAACATGCCTTCTCTGAGATAGGTGGCTCCATCCTGTTCCTTTCTGCCCAGCCCTGTCTGCATATCTGTCAGGGCACAGTACCTGCGGTGAAAATCTGCGCAGCTACTGCCAGGAAGGCGTCTGTCACCACTGTTTCTGAGTGCAGTGAGATGTTCAATTGGCGGGCAATATTCCGGTAGACGTTGGGGCGAATGTATTCCAGCTCATCCCCTGGAAACAAACAGTCAGGAGTCAGCACACAGTACAACAAGTCCTGCTCTCACAATGCAGGAATTACAGCTGGGGCCACCCCACATACTCCTCCAGCCAAAGAGACTTAACCCCAGCTCCTCCTTATTTTAAACAGGCAGCAGAATGCTTAGGGTCATTTAGATGCAACCCCCTGACACCTGCACCCTGCTTTCCTAATATTGCCTGTGCCTGGGACTTCTAGAGGGAGTGGGGACAGGCAGTGGCCATGTTACCAGTGGTGTGGCTGCAGGGATCCCCAATATAAATGATGTTCCCAGGCTGGATGCCTGCCTTTGCTCCAACAGAGGAAACAGGCCTCAGATAAGTAAAGCCATCTCATTTTTCTTCAGAAGTGAAAAGGAGGCCCATACATCTATGTAAGATTTTGAGAGATACACCCTTTCTTAACACCCCATCAGACTTGTACAAAAAAGCCTCAAGATGAGAGTGACTCAAGAATGCTGGAGGCTGATGAAAGCCAAGGATCCACCCAGAGCTGCAGAACATTAATTGAGCAAAGAGACTATCAGCTCAGCTATTTTACACTCACACAGGCACTATCTGGAGTGACTATCTGGAGTTCTTTCTCTCCTCCAAATGGTTAAAGAGGTGTTCATTTGCCTGGCTGACTCCTCAGCAACAAGGTTCCTGACACACACATGTGCTTTAACATCCAGGTTGGTTTTCTCCCCAGCTGGGAAATGATTGGAGGTGTTAGACTACCTTGAAGACCAAGATGGAAATACCAAGGACAAGCAGAGAACCTCCTTCCAGGTTTGTGTTATGGAGCTCGGGCAACAGCAGTAAAGCTTTTCCTCTGTAGCAAAACAAACCATTTTTGAGCAGTAGAATTAATAAAGCCCAGTTTCCAATAGATTTATCTCTATATAGGCGTTCACAGATACTTAGTGAGGGTTGCACAGCCGCTGTAGGAGCATTACACAATGCAAACATTGCATGGGACCAAGGCCCTCTGTGCATGGAGAGTTCTATTTGGTTTAGATTTAGAAGGACATTCTGTGTCCTTCTCCTGCACAAGGGTGCTCTGAAGCACCCAGGAGAAGAGGAGAGCTGTCGCAACAGCTTGACATCCTACTGGAAGACCCAGATGACTTGCCCTAGTCAGAGGGCAACTGATCCTCCTGAAAATTTCATTTAGATGGGGACTGAAAAGGAAGATGACACCCCAGTCAGGAGCTTGTTTTAGAGTCATTAGCTACTGGACCTTAAATTCATCTGACTGGTCACTTGCACTCAGCACAGCACGGGCAAAGCCCAGCTCTACAGAATTCCACAGACAAGCTCTCTGGGCCCCTTGTGTGTGGGGGATTGCCCCACACAATCTGATGGCAAGAGGAAACCCTGCCAACACATGGTCAGCCCTGATAAGAGGGAACATTACTTGCCTGACTCAACAGCTGTTTTCTCCTCACAAGGAGTGCACAGGCTTCCCTGTAAATGCGAGGAAACGGGGATAGCCCTGCCTGTGGGTAGCTGAGAGGGAGGCATGGGAGGCTGGGATCAGCACTTGGTAGCCTGCCACTGTGACAGCTTTTAACAAGCAGTGCCTGGAGGCCCCAGATGAGATCAGGTTTTGGTTGGAGGCACACATGCTGCTATAGTGGGCCCTGCCCTGCAGCAATGCACAGTGCAGACAAAAGCAGGCAGGGGAAGAAAAGAAAGGAAAGCAGTCCCAGGCTCATGGAGACTCCCTGCCCCGGCAGTTCCAGGACCTCTCCAGCAGCACATTACATTCTTGGCAGTCTTTGGTGTCCATGTTCAGATGCCCAACTGCACACTTTGTAACACTTAGAGCAATTTCTGTGCTTCTCCTCCTTCTTCCAGTAATCATGGAGGAACAAGTAGGGCAGCAGTGACAGTTCCCGCAATGCAGAAGCTCAATGCAGTGGTGAAAGGGCACTTGCCTGGGTCTTGGCCACAGAAGAGACAAGTTCAGATAAATCAGATAGGCCATGTGGCAGGCGGAGTTTCTGAACAAGACACAAACAACTCTTCATCCCAACAAGGAGGACTCCTCACCCTTCTTGTTGCATGGGTACCGCATGGCGCTCTCCAGATTTGCTCAGAGAATCGCCAAGTTCCTGGGACTATCAGCCAAATCTTTCCATCTGGACATGAATAAGTAACAGGAGAGTCATCCAGGAGACGCCTTCAGATCCAGTCTGCCACCTGCTTGCCCTTTAACATGCTCCTGGCCACCCACAGAAGATCTGGTTGAGAGCAAACAAATCTCAACCCCCAATCCAAGCACAGAAGAAATGGAGGACAAAGAGGCAGTGAGATTGACAGAACAACAACAAAAAAACAACAAAGACCAAACAACTACTGGAAACAAAAATAGAAGTCAGCATAGAAGAGAAAACGTGAAAAAGAATGAATGAAAAAAAAAGTCAGTAAAAAGAAGCAGCTATGCCTTAAAAAGAAATTTGGGATAATATCAAACAGAAGTAGAAAGAAAGGGGAGAAAGTAGGGAGACCAGCCTGGTCCTGAGTTTTTTAGGCCTAGCTAAAGGTTACTTCACCAGACTTATTTGAACTTTGATGTAATTAAATCAGATGCAAATGCTAGTGGTAGTTTCCAAGCCAGATGTGAACTAATATACCAGCCTCCAGGCAAACAGGGATGTTGGAAGCAACTTCCAAGAATGAGGGTGTTGGGATCCCAAAAGACAAAGGGCTAGACTTGAGCACACAGGAGGCTAAAACATTAAGCAAAAGGCCAGGCAATTGTCAGCATTTAGAGGATGCTCCTGGTACAAGCACAACTCCAGAGCTTGTCTTCATGTAGCAGCCTACAGGCATAACCTTCAAATCGCTCTCCCTGAAGCCCTGGGAGTCACCTGGCCACGAGGGGAGCTGGCTAGTTTGGGCACTGAATTTCAGTGTATGCCAGGCAACATCAGCTAACTCCTCCTTGCTCCAACAAAAAGCAAGAAAACTCAGGTCTTGCTGAATGATTAAGGTAGGCAAAGGAAAATTAAACACACTGTCAACACACTGTCATTGAAAAGCAGCTTTTATAAAATCTCCAACACACACCGTCTAAGCAACTACTCCCAAATTAAATGTCCTTGCAGCTGGGCGAGCAACTGATGAAGCCCAAGTCTAGAGGTAGCAGTACTCTACTAGACACCAGCTTGGGTTGCGTCACGGCAGCCAAGTCACCTGCGTCTGGAGAAAACACTGAAAGACCTGTTAAAATGCCAAGCTGAGAAAGACTACTGAAATTACTGTGAAAACTGTTACACAGGTGGAGTCTTATGCAGATAAAATTAGTTTGCTGTTGGGCTTTCTCGGACTGCTTCATGCTTTTAAGTTGTTGCAAGTCCTCAGAAAAAAGTAGCTCTGCAAAACACTGTGCTGAGCCATGCTCCAAGGGACTGAGGAAATGCAAGTAAAGGAGCTGTTTAGGGAAGATCGCCAAAACCAAACCTAAATGCCCAAAGCAGAGAAGAAAAACCTCTATATCGCCACATGAAAAGACTCTTGGCACTCATCAGTTCCAGAAATCTTAGTCTGGTCTGAATTGCTCCCTATAGTTTCATTTCCCACCCATACTCGCAGGGACCTACCTAGTCGCAGCAGTATGGTGGACACCTCGGCCAGCTTACCGCCAGGCACTGGTGCATTGTACTCAGGTTTGCTCCAGCTGACACCTGCTCGAATTAACCTCGAATTTATGTAGTCTCTGCAGAGAGCCTTGGCTTGGGACACAAGCTCCTTGTCAGTGGGAGACCTGTCAAAAACCTCCATCACCTCTGCAGCAAAGACTGAGGAACGGCGTAGCACTTCCATCCTTGGCTGCTGCACCCACACCTCAGCATATGCTTGCTGGAAGGCTGAGCCAACACCTTAGATGAGAATCTGCAGAAGCTGTGTAGTAATCCTCTTGGTTTGTCACAGCTCCCAGCAGCTCTTCTCAAAAGGCCAGTTTTTCATTTTACCTGGTGAATAAAAGCATCTGTAAGTTCTCTAACATTGCAAAGATGTAAATCAGAAGCCCAAGTATTATACCTTACAGTTACGCTAAAGGCAGTAGTATCATATCTGCAAAACATCTGTCTCAGTGCATCTTACAGACAAGGGGCAAAGTCTTCTATCTTTCAGCCACTCTAACCTTCACAGGCAGCACGACCCCCAGAAGGGCTGCAGTTTTGAACTATCAAGGTGTTTCGTCTTTTCCAGTTCAGATTCGGCAGTCCTAGAACTACCCTTCAGAGAGACTAGACGGTCAGAGTGTGGAAACAATTCATAGAATGTGTAGACAATCTCAGCTTGTTTCAATTAAACTGGAAAAAAATGAATCTCAAATATGAGCTACAGTAACCTCAACCATATGTCAACAGACATTCCAGCTCAGTAGGTCATGGATCTTTGAAGAAATGGCACTAGTGCAAGAAAAGGGGTATGGGAGCATTTGAAATGTCTCACTGGAGACAGTTTACCACATTCTCAGTTTAGGTTTTGCTTCTGCCACTCTTTTTCTCTTTTTTTTTTTTCTTTTTTTTTCTCCCCAAGGCAACGTGCATATTACTTCTCAAAAACCTTTAGCAATAGCAGAGAGAGCAAAACAGGAAAGCAGATTTAAAAAAAAAAAAAAAAGTTTTCAGGTGTGAATGCTTAAAGAGAAAATTAAAAATTTCTTCAGAGGCACCTGAATTCATCTGTTGATCTGACTTTTTAACCTAGCGCTGCTTTTGAAGTCAGAGTCAGACCAAAGTCTTTATTCAGATGTTAGTAAATGTATTTTTCAGTCCCCAGTTTTAGACATCTACTTACAATAACAATTTTCAAATTAAATAAAGCGAGTTATTTTTGTTTTTCCCAATGAAAAATATATTTACCTCTCATGTTGTGCTTTTTCCCATTCAGCGGTTTCTTTTTGGGTTTGGTTTCGTGTTTCTTTGGAAGATCTGCATCAACGAACATCTGGTTTAGGATTCATAGGATACTGTCACACTTCTCCTCTGGAGAGCACCAGCCTTCTCTGCCGTGATCTTCTCAGAGCTCACGCCAGTACCTCCTTCCCCATCTCTGTCAGCCTCGCATCCCGGCTGCACTCCACCAGGATCCTCGGGGCTTGCTCTGCTGCTTTTAAGGCACCCAGGCGGCAGAGGAAAGCTTCTAGCTTTAGCCTTGTAAGGAAGATGAAATAACCAGGAGGTGGGGTTGCTAGAGCCAGAGAGCAACGCTTTCTCCTCCTCTTTCTTCTCTCTTAAGGAGGTTCTCTGTTGTTCTGCGAGCGCGCAGGGGCTTTGTTCAAGGACTCGTCCTCGGGGCGAGGGTAGGAGCATAATTTCTGGACCAGGTTACCCCATGGAACAGAAAGCGATGAATGCACTGCTGAAATAGGAATAGCTCCCGGTGAATTCCCATGGTGGCTTTTGCAGAGTTGATGTTGGCCAGGCATTTTCAGATGGTAGGCGAGTCAGGCAACAGCAGGATTCAGTGGTGAGCAAGTCTATCAGTTCAATCCTAAACGATGGAGGTGATTAACAAAGAGAGCTACAGCTTGGGGCTAAAGCAAGTGGTGCTTGCATTCCCCCAAACTACGAGTACTCTGGTTAAAAAAAAAATGAAGTGGGTTTGTTGATAGGAAATAGTTTGTCCAGAATGAAGTGTTTTGCAGGAACATGTCCATCTCATCTCAGTCTGCTAAGATGTGCTAACACATGAAGTTTAAGGAAAACAGTTCAATTAGTTCCAACATACTTAGAAATCAATTTCAACATCAACTTCTTCTTGCAACATTGCTCAACTTTTTTTAAGCATATGTGTGATACCATTTCAACTCAATAGACCACATACAAATGCTGGCTTTTTGTGTTAGGATTTGAAACAAAAGAAGTTTTAGAAATAGAAGTTTCCTGCAGACAAGAAATTCTACCACCCCAAACACAAATTCTTCCCAACAAATAACAATTTGTAGATTAATGACTGGGTACGTGGCATGTTCACAATACAGCCTTTCCAAAAGGAGGTCAGGAGCAAGAAGTAACTGTTGTCGTCTCTTGCTTGTCATCTTTGAGAAAAGACAGAGGCAAGTACACCTCTCCAAGGTGTTGATCACAAAAAAACCCCAAGCACAACATGCACCACTGCTGGTGTCAAAATTGACGGATAAAAAGGAACAAATGCCGGTCTCAAAATTGAGGGATAAAAAGGAACAAATGAACTGCATGAAAAAGCCTTATTATATGATGTATCGAAAACTCTGGCCAGCATCCAACACACAACTCACGCACAGGCTTAACACAGAGCACACGTTTTGGTCTGCCATTAACTGGATTGCTGGTGAGTGTTTTGCTGCATTGGCAAGGGGGCTGTGGTAAAGCCTCTTCTCCCTCCGGTGACAGATCCTCTTTCTGGGCTGGCTTCTTCTTGGAAAGGAGCAAGGTTAAGGAGAGGTACGTGTATGGAGTAGTCATCAGCTGGGGACCCCTGGCTTAGCTTGATATGATCATGTTAAGAAGGCAATAGTGATTGTGCATCTCCAGCACCAGAAGTATTTGCTCAAAGATTCTCTCAGAAATTTTTGTCCACTACCCTTCCTCAAATTTAAATATAGTCACTATAAACAGAGGCCCATCCCATAGAAGCTAAAATCAAGACCCCAGAGATCCTGTGCTACTGCCCATCCCTAACCCACCTTTTCTCTGCAGAGTGTGCCTGATGGTCTGAAAAATGATTAAAAAATTACATCTTAGCTTCCTGCAGCAGCTGACAGCTTGAAACAGTAGTCCTATTTAAACTGTTCCTATTCAGTAGAGCTCTGAAACAAAGATGAGTGCTTAAATATCAGTATTGCTTAACTAATGATAATGTTTCCCAGAATTCTGGCAAATATGCAAGTGCCACAGTGCCTCCCAGCTCTCTGAGGGTGCCAAACCCATCCCATGTGTTCCCTGCCTGACTGTCACAGCATGCACACCCCTCAACTTCCATTCTGCAGCAAAGACACAAAAACTAGAAACATTAAGGCTGTGTATAATAAACCAAACTTTGTATAAAAAAAAACCCAAAACCAACAAAACAACAGTGCATGGTATTCTACCTATATTATTTACACACTAAAAATACAGCTTCACACTGAAAGATACCTCTATAAATAAAAAAAGATGAAACCACAGCATATAGTGCTCAGCTGACTGCAAAAGAATAGGGTGTTACAATCCAAGGAGCTGCCAGTGTAATCTGAGCCCCTTTTTCCATAGCATGTTTAGGCTACAACACTTAGAGGCTAGATCTATACTGGAAAAACCTTTGTAGCAAAGGAATATCAGGAAATAGCGCAGAAACAGCTTATATCACCCAAACCCACTGTTCCCGGTGTAGCTATTGCTGGCATGACAGTGTTCTGCCTGGAACAACAGGCTCCATACCACAGCTCCTGCCTATGTCTGATGGGGTGACCAAAACAACTTGGAGCATTCATTTATAAAACCAGGGGACCACAGAGATATGACTACATTTTATAAGCATGTCAAGTGGAAGCAAGCCCTGGAGAAATCACATCAGGAAGAACACAGCAATAGTCTAAATGTGGACAGCTTATGCTCAATATTAAATAGTTTAACCATTAGAGAAGTAAGTCTCTGGACGGGCCTTTTAACAGTTGCAGTGGAAGCAAAATAGCTAGCTAATTGTGAGCACGCTAAGCTTATGAAAGGGTCTGCATGATATGGTTTCTTGCAACAGCACAAGAATAACCCTGAGTGCCATAGGAGGTCATTTCCAGTCTTGTGCTGACATGGCCTGGTTTCTGTCAGAGGTATTGTTTTGTTTCACCTCATGGTGCCAATCCCAGCCACTTCACACAGCCTACAACAATTCCAGCAGAAACTACACGCTGTAACACATAGATCCGATGCTCTAAAACACCTGCAGAGTAAGGGCTCAGAGAAGCAAAGGGATGCCAGAGACACATAGTTCATAGCTAGAGAGCCTGGGAAACAACCCCACTAGCCCCCGCCTGCTACAAGAGGTTTTTCTGCAGAGAGAAGATGCTCTGGCAAAACACTGGCACTGTAACCAGACCAAAGCCTTCTATCAAACCATCCCTGAACCACCTTCTGCATTATCTCACCCAGATTTAACATACCATCTTCTCCCCACTGCCTCTTCCTGTCTGATTTTTGCAGCAATACTTCGATTCTGTGTTTGTCAAGTTATCACTCACCACTGTGAAAACACCTGCAACGTGGGGCTTTAGGTTGCAAAGCCATACAGGAGGAGCAGGGAGGCTAGAAGAAACACTTCTTTTGCCAGCTGCAACAGGAAAACAATACATGGAAGTAGCAGCTTAATGGGACCCAAGCAAAACACTGAGGCTTTTTGAACATTTCTCTCATTTCTGAAGGTCTTGATTCAAAGCCTCCTGAAAGCCAAGCAGTTATTTGTACTACTTGCATATCAGGATCGCCCTGGAGCACCTTTCCTGGAGCAGGATTTTGCAGTGCCAAGTGTCACGTGCCAGACCAAAGAGGCTGTGTCGCAGTGAACTTGTCTTCCACAGCCTTTAGAGTGTTCTCCTTTGTGAGGATACAGGTCTAGTGACTTAAATGCATCAAATTTAGCAACCAATCTATTACTTAGGTTTCTGACATAGATTACCACTGATACCCAATGTTTTCTTCTCTTAGCCCACTGTCATGCTCACTACCACTGCTTCTAGACACAACCTCCTTGTTATACATATGTTTTGACAAAGGCAGGACAAAGATATGGTGTACTCCAGAAGTGATGCACAAACACACTGAAGGGGAAACTGTAGCATGAATTTAATGTTAGCAAGCAGCGCTATGAGTTGAGTTATAGAACATCTCTACTGGTATTCCTGAATCTTATTCTGGAAATGTTGCCTGAGAAGAGCTTAACCAACCATTACTACTCAGGTATAAAGCCAGCAGCTGCCCAGTGTAAAACAGTAGCTTCTAGCTAAATCTAGGACTTTGATGAGGCTGCGTCATCAGTTTAAGAACCTAATTAGATATAACAGTAGATAAAACTGTTTTGGTTGTTTTCTATCCTCTAATTTGCTTCAAAATGACACCTTTTACTGAATGGATCATCGCATAAGCCAAGAAGGCGGCAAACACACAGAAGAAATAAGAAGCATTAAGTTGTTCAACAGCTATAGCTTTGTTTTGAAACACAAATAAAATATTTACATACCATACCACCAAAATAGAAAAGGCAGAAAACACCTAATGAGGTCACTATCCCCAAGAGATAAAAGAGGACTCTTCCCTTTCAAGCTCTATCCAACAAAGGCAGAGCATGAGCGATTCTAGTGATTGATCACCCACAAGGTTTGGGAATCACTTCCACACAGGATACATGCATGTGGACAGGCAAGTGCCTCTGCCTGCAATGATCCTGAAATCTCAAGAGCCTGAAGTTGGTGCAGGCACTTCTGCACTGGCTCAGCAGCATTTATGAGCTCTGATGCATTTATCTGCTGCTTCAAGACACATGCTGGTGCACGGACATGTCCTACACAGGCAAATGGATTGCTGGATCTGATAATCACAAGGCAGCAGTCTTTACCCTGCACACATCATCATGCCCTAAACAGATTCCGAGGGATTTAGACTCAATTTTTGCATATCCAGAGCATAGCCCTGCTTTTAATTAAACCCTTACTGACTGTCAGAAGGGCTCTTCAGGCTCTTCAGTCTTAGCCTCTAGTGCTGGGCAGGGCAGCAACTATGCTTTTAAAAAACCCTGTCTTTTCAAGTTGTCAGACAAGGAGGGTAGGCTGATGTCTCTAGTGTGCACAGATCAAACTTGGAGTGCACGATTCCTTCATATGCAGTTGATTACGCCATGCAGCATTTTGGCCATTAGGATGCACAGTTCCACCCTGACAGCCAGCAAAGCATTTCTACACACTCTATACACCCCAGGAGTTTGTTGAACTCCATGCTGACAAAAATTTTCTTCAAGACTGCTTTGGTTAACAAG